AAGAGTGCAGGAAGAGGACTGCAAAACACATCAGAAGAACTGTGAGAGGCACACATCCAGTCCTGGTGAAGTCCTGAGTCCTTCGGGGCAGTTCACACTTTGAGATGGCAGCTCATACCACTATTCTCAAAATATGGCATACAAACCAATCTACTGTCATCAACTAAAGGGCTTGGCTGAATTCCCCCTCCTCCCTGAATTTCAGTAGGTGTTCTAATTTATCTGACTTTAGCAGTGTACAGTGCCTTATCCTTATTCTGGTGAAGCTTTTTGACACTGAACCAGCAGAAGTGCAAAAGCTAGAGAAAGAGGTACAGGAATCCAGAGGCTCCTAAGCCCCTGTATCAAGCTACCAGCTGTTTCGTTCCTACAGATTTTTTTTTTAACTGGTAGATTGCTATTATCGTGCAAAGTTTCTTTTGGACCTCAGCACATCCTTTACAGCAAACTTTTACAAACTGTTAACTAAATAACATTCTTTAATCTGAAAGTTTTGCTACCATTTATGCCTTTCTTCAAATCAGTCATAGATACAACAAAATCAGACCTGGAGACTTTTAAGGCACCACCATCAGCTTTGTATCATGATAAAAATTTACCATTTTTTCCTGTGCTTGGCTCTCTGTCTCTAGAACAGCTTATGTAATGCAGTACTTCACTTCTCTAGCTGTGACAGTTTAGGTTCCCAAGTCATCACTGGTGAGGGATTTTTTAAAATGAAAATCAAATAAAGTATACCAGCAAGTTCTTCTTTACCTCCTGTTTCATTTACATGCGCAAAGAATTCTACCCCATGAATGAAACCCAAGTTTGGGGTTTTGTATGTTTGTTTGTTTGATTTGATTTTTAATTGAGCTTGACCCTAAAAGCACTTGTTTTCACTGAGGCATAAGGAATAGAACAAGTTTGAGTTTTTAGGCCAGGTAATTTTTTAAGATATGAAATTCTAGAGAAGTAGCAGAACGCTAAAGATATGGTAGAGCTCTTTTTTTTTTTTTCCAGATACTCCTCTCTCCACAGTAACTTCCTTAATTAAGTTTGCATTTCCAAAAGCAATGAAAAACTCTCTCTGAGGAGATGGCACATAAATCTTGGCTACAAATAGCCAGACTCCTCAGTCTCTCCCACCACTTGAGGGACTTGCCTTGGAACACCCAGTCCCCAGGCCTGCCCTGTGCTCGCTGGGCATGGCAGAGCAGGGGGGACCACCTCAGAAAATCTGCAAGACCTGTTTCAATGCCACAAAGTGCTGTGGTGGGGTAAGTCCTGCAAGCTGCATGGGGAACCTCCACTAAATATGCAGAGTTCTGGCACAGACTCCAGCTATAAAATTAAGTTAAAGTAACACCCTTACACAGATAACACAGTCTAGAAGATAAACTTAAAGATCTGTTTCGTCACCAGATAAGTGGGCAAGTTGTGGAGTGTGACTATCATAAGTTATTTAAAATCTCCCTAGAAACCTTTGGCTTAAAAATTTGATTCAAACTGACAAATACACTGATTTTTCAAAGTGATTTCTGAATATGAATCTTCAGTAAAAAAGGATCGTTCAGGTTCAGCTTAATGAGTTAAGCCTTCTGAATATTCTAAGCATAAGTTATAACAATATAATGTTGCATTTTTATAACTATAGCCAGGTGACTGGACTGGACGATCTCCAGAGATCCCTTCCAATCTCTATAATTCTCTGATACTGAAATGCTCTTTCAGATGAAAGACAGTCAAGTAAACCACTGCTCCTTCTCTAAATAAATCTCAGGTGCATAGATCTTTCCAGGAAGGTCTTCGGGACTTGCATTAGCACCGATAATTTTGCCAAATAATGGAAAATATATATTAAAAAAATTCTCTTTTGTACTAAGGAAACACAGGTAGAAGATAAACCATAATAAAATAAAACTAAAATTCTCCTAGAATGTAGATTTTATGCACAACATTGAGTTTATCTTACCTGTAAAGATCAGTAATCTGCCCTTCATTCCAGCGGTAATAAAAATCATTAAGAAGACGTTCATGCTGTCCATACAAGCAAATGTAGTTGGAGACAGGGATGGGTTCCTTTGAAAAGCAGGTGATACTCTCTACCATACTATATTTGTTAGTATGTATCCTGAAATAATTCCCATGTTTTGCCTCTCCAGTTATAATCTCCATCCCCTGGAACAGAAAATACAAAGAAAGCTGTGGAGATGGAACCTACACCCGATTTGGCATATGTATAGGATCAACTAGGGTTTCCTAGCTGATATTTACCATTTCTTAAAGTCCACAAGCTTTTTTTTTTAATCAAGAACACCCATTCCTGGTAACATGGTTTATACAACAAGGCACTTTGCTATTGTTCGGACACAAAGGTTTTCTGTGTGGTTTAGATCTTGATTAACTGCACACAAAATTGTGCAGCGTATGACTGCGTGTGCAGCGTGGGCTTGGCTGCCCAATCCCGAGTGCCATTTGAGACACCTAAGGGTATCTGGGCCATCCGAACTGGGCTGACAGCTATGACACAGGATCCATGGGAGACCTGTGACCTCCAAGAGTAGCAGCTGGGGGTCAGGAGGGATGCCCTGGGGCATCCCAAACAACACTAGATGCCTCTGTTTAGGCAACTGAATTGAACTCTATTCATCTTAATTTATTATGCAGAGTCCATATTATTGCATACACATGGCATATCATAATTTACTATAGGATACCATCCTGATGAATTAAGAACATACAGGTATACTTTTACTCTCTCTCCAGAATTGTAACTATACATATGTATTTTTATATATGTATATACAAACAGTATGTGTGCAGAGTTCAAATTAATGGCACATCATAGAAGCTACACGATTGTAGGCAGTGGGTTGATACTACCAGATTAATGAGTTATCTTTCTAAAACCTGTTGCTAGGCTACAGTAACCTTTGTTACTTCCACATCTCTTGGCTAATACATTTCACTAGCTTCTCTTACTTCCTTCTTACAAAATTCTTTTAGGATTTACATGAAGTTTCTGGAGTGGCTTTAAAAATGCTCCCTTTTCATTCATCAGGTAATCAAAGCTGCAGCAAAAGAATTCTAATAATGTTCTAGCAATTCGGAGCGATAAAACCAATTTTTCTCTCTCTGATAGTCTTTTCTGCTTCCCAGCTCATCCTGGGTCTGCAAAGCTGGAAAACAAGATAAGCCATGCTTTGATTCCTCCCCCCACAAAGCACAGATTCCTTTTTAAAATGATGATTTCTTTCTATGGACCATTGCTGTCCAAGTTTTAATATCAACACTGAAACAGTCTCTTAAAAGCCACTCTTTACATTAACTACAAGAATGGGCTTGATGCAGAAATCCCCGAGTAAAAAGGTATAATCTGTATGAAACAGGAGCTTGCCTAGGTGTACGGTCCTCTCTCGCTTTAAAATACATGAATCTAGTCCTTTTCATGTTTCACAAGTCAGGTTCTCCAGTACCAGAAGCATCTCCATGTTTGAATGATGGATGGCATGATCTCCTATGTAGCCCAACTGTGTGAAGTGCTTCTCTCTTTCCTCTTCAGATGACTCTCGTGGTTGCAGCATGCAGCATGAGCTATTTTCTAGCAGCAAAGTATGGACTATCTCTTCCAGAATATATTCTTTTCCTACTAGTCTAGAATTTCACTGATAGACTGTGAAGCTTTATCATCTGTATGCATTTATAGCACCTTATTGTAGGGAGGAAAGAAGTTAAGTGCTAAGCCCGAAAGCATCTTTTAGTGAAATCCAGCTAATACTGTCACATGTCTTCATAGAAATTGTGTGTCTTTTGAGAAAGCCAAATGTCAGAAAGTATGGAAAGGAACATCTGAGAGGTTCAGTTAGGTATCTCATTCATAATTGTCCACCAGCTGTACTTGATTGATACTATGCATCCAAGCTCAGTAGACTGAATTTGTTCTTATGCAAATCTGATGGCAAATACCACCACTACCTTAATATGCTATGTATTAAAGATGTGCTAGGGACTTCAGAAGCTACATATTCCATGTGACTTAGAAAATTACCTGTCTCTCTACAGAATGAAGCAAAAAGAAAGCCATGCTGAAAAAGAGAGTACTGAGGAAAAGCCCCAATGATAAAGATGATCAGAGGGCTGGAGCACCCCTCCTACAAAGATAGGCTGAGAGTTGGTGTTGTTCAGCCTGCAGAAGAGAAGGCTCCGGGGGAACCTTATAGCAACCTTCCAACACCTGAAAGGTGCCTATAAGAAATCTAGGCAAGAACTGTTTACAAGGTCATGTAGCAATAGGACAAGGGGTAATGGTTTTAAATTAGAAAAGGGTAGATTTAGGTTGGATATTAGGAAAAGGTTTTTCAATATGAGGGTGGTAGATCACTGGAACAGGTTGCCCAGAGAGGTGGTGGAGGCCTCATGCCTGGACATATTCAAGGCCAGGTGTGATGGGGCTCTGAGCAACCTGATCTGGTAACACTGTCCTTTCTCACTGCAGGGGAGTTGGACCAGATGATCTTTAAAGGTCCCTTCCAACTCAATCCATTCTATGATTCTATTATAAGATCCCAACCTGTGCTGAGACAAATGGCTCAGGAACCAGGCACAGTGCTGAGCCACCAGCTTCTGGAAAAAACGGGTCAAGAAGTTGAGCTGTAGTGCCCCATTAAGAAGCTATCTGAACCCAAAGTGCTACAGATAGTAACAAAGAGGTCAGGGCATTAGGGCTTGTCAAGTATTTCCCATCTTCAAAAACCCCTTTGGATTCATTTGGTTTCATGGCAAAGGAATTAAGAACTGCAGTAAAGAAGTTAATCAGATAATCTTATCTGTATATATTCCACATTTACATTATGGCAGTGAATTTACATTAAAATATATTAAATATTTTTGAATAATCACAGAGATTTTATGAGGCTTGGTCCATTCCAGAGTCTACTGGTAAGGTCTCTAAATACATACTTAAACCCACGCTTACTCAAGATACTTTTTTAAGATGCATGGTACTTAGGCATGTACCTATGGTATCCTAAATAAGTACACCTTTCCAAATGGAGGATGAAATTAAGAAAAGTTAAGTAATGCAACTTACATGATCACACAGTGCAAGTTTTAAGTCCAAGCGGATGGGGATTTCTGGTTTGGAAATATGCAAGTAATTATACCCTCCAGGAAGAACACCTCCTATCACAAATGAAAAGATGAGATTTATTAAATCATAAACAAAGAAGAAAAAGTATTTGTTTGCCCTCCTTCTCCCATAACATTTTTACTAAATGGCTCTAAAAATAAAACAAGGAACTTTGTTTTGGTAGATGACATTATAAACTTTTATTTGGTACTCTTCTACATATTGGTGCAGTAGCCACCCATTGAAAAGTTCTGATTACAGTTTTAATTATCTTGAACTTGGAATAAAGATGCTGAGTTTCAGTGGAAACACTCCATAGTTACTGCCATATAAATGAAAGCACAACTTGGTCTGTTATTAGCAAAAATCTACAGCAACTTGCTCAACATTTTATTGCAACTCACCTCTCTCCACTGGCTGTATAAGAGGCTTTGAGGACTTCACCACCATTATATAGCAGCTTAGGTGAGATGAACCTACCCTTATCATACAACAGCAAAAATACCAAGGAGGGTATGAAAATCGGACAGAAATCTATTTTGACATACCTTTAATTTTACACCCTTTGTACATGAGGATGAGTCTGTCTTTGCCTTCTGGGGGCTTAGAAAAGGGCTTAGGGATTGGATCAAAGAGATGCAGCATAGATGCAGCAAGCTCAAAGCCAATCTCCTTTGAGTTGAAGTTGCTATGTGTCCATTCATCTGCATAATATCTCCTGGAGTACTTTGTTAAAGGACCTGCAGCTCTGATACTGGCATCAGTGGTGCGAAATTTGGTATCGATCACAAGTCTTCCATCAAAAACAAGGCAAGCATCATTGATTGCCTTAAAGGTTTCATAATCCACTGTCCTATAGGCAAAGCTGAAAAATGCCTAAAAAGGAGATGTAAGTGTAGGTTATTACAGATTAGTTACTGTCTAATTTCGTAAATCAAAACCTACCCTTTGTTCTGAATCTTATTTATTTTAAAAAACAGGAACATGAACTAAAGTATGATTTTATATACACAGATAAAGCCTTCTGATCCAGTATTTACAGCTACTAAAATTACAATAAAGACAGTAGAGAGAAGAATTACTAAACTACACTCAAATACTTCCGGTTATTAGATGACTTCTATCTTAAAAACTCTAATATCAACTATGTCAAATAGCCTGAGTGGATGTGCATATTTTCTGTGTTAGTATGGACATAGCATGAAATAGCTTGAACTCTGTATGAAGTTGGTTTTCAAGTGCTCAAGCCAAACGAAGTAACAGAAGAGCACAATTCAGCAGGATAACTGTATATTGCTAATATTTTACCAACTGTTGTGTCTGTTTACCAACAAATTATGTTACTATGGCTACCAAAACAGAGATATTAAATGAAACTGAAAGATAAGAAATTCAAACTGTTCAGTGGAAGTGTCATGCTCATTCAAACTACAACAGGAGAATTTAAGCCAGTGGAAGCTGTAGAGGCCAAGAAGATTGTGAGTGGTACAAAAGGATTGAATATTTACATAGAAAGGAAAGCATTTGGATTTATTATTCTTGCTAGTGATGCAGGCTTTGGAAAGCATATCCAAACTTTGTCAGGACTGAAAAACATCTCTAGCTATTCCAGATCTGGATAACACTTGCTTTAGGAGGTAGTCTCATCTGTGTCTCCTCAGTGCTTGGGGCTACTGGGCCTGGCCACAGTCAGAGACAGGGCACAGGTCTAGGGGGACGCCAAGTCCATCCAGATCATCCAGGGCAGCTGAGCGGCAGCTGTGTCTGTAAGTGAGGTACTTGGTACATTTGGCAGTCAGTTACTGAACTCCATAATGAGCACAGTAGACACCTATTCACTATGTCTTGGCTGGTGGGACTGAAAAAAGATGTGACTTCCATTTTTTGAAAACACTGTGTTGTCTTACTCCTCCTTACAGAACTGGCCCTGAGGTAGGGATTTATCTTGGGACCAGCATCTACTGAAGCCATGAGCTCATCTTCCCCACAGGAAGATTTCAAGGGCATTGAAAGCAAATCACCCTAAATCCTTAAATTCCTCCTCTAAGTCTCAAAGAAAAAAAGCTAGTGATAATTCCCTTCTTTTGTCTTCTTGTGGCACCTGCATAGTCCCTCTCCTGGGACAGGAGGAAGCAGATCAGACCTCATCTCCCCAAAACAGGAGCTGAGGCAGCACCACCCTGACAAGCACTACAAAGCAGGCAGTGCTGGAAGCGGCCACTGATTTGTCCTACGTATTAAGCATCGGCGTGGAACAGATGTGCACGCAGCACGTTATGCAAAATGTGCTGGATGCCTGAAGAGCCGCTTTGAAACCCGGCGCAGCGCGAGAGCGAGGACTGCAGGGTCCCGCCACAGCCCTTGCCTTTTGTCTGCGCGTTCTGCACAGACTCCGCGCATTGATTAGCAAAGAGGGGCTTTTGAACTGATTTAGAATCATGCAGATCTGACATTTCTCTTTATATGCATTTTATCTGGTTTTCTACATTGCTTGAAAGTGACTTTAAAGAGGCAAAGCCCATCTGAAATCTGGAACCAAATGTGCTCACTAAGGACAAAAGGGCCTATTGAGATGTAGCTGGCAGAGGCACTGGGGAAGGTAAAACTTGTGTCACCTGGAGGTGTCTCAATTCTGAAACACGAGAAATGAGGAGCAGGTAAGTGAGGCTGGGTGACTCCAGCCTGGACACAGGGAGCACATGCACAAAATAGTCCCTGCCCCAGATCCTCACCTCTGTCAGTGCACCACAGAGAGCAGAAGTCGGAGAAGCTGCAACTACAAGCAGCATCTCCATAGTTGCCTCTTATGAAGGATAAACTGAAAGCTGGCAGAACAAAGGTCCCAAAAATAAAGTGAAACAAGAATGCATACCAGACATTGAGGGTTAAAAGTAATTACAAGGTTCAGAGATGCTTTAAACAAGATAATAGTCTGCAAAGAGTACAGATCAAGACTGATTGCTACTGTCTCATTGCTACAGTAAAGTTTGTGAAGCTCCAGAGCCTTTATAAAAAGCTTTTCCCTTCATCAGCACCCTCAGCTTTTAAAATGATTAGGCAACAAGTTGAACGTTGCTGCCCGCCATCAAGAAATAATCCTGTACAGGCTGAGGAAAGGCTGAAAAGTTATCAGACGAGCATGCATTATCTTGCTGCCTTCATCCTGAACAGCCCAAGACATAACTGTATCGGGGCAGACCAGCCCCAGTGATTATGTCCTTCCCTTAGTGCCAGGGTACACAGTTGTGACCTGGGTAAAGGTCAAGCGTCAGATGCTCACGACCAGTTGGATGAGCCAGCCAGAAGAAAAGGCACAGGAGGCAAAGGGAGCTGGAAATTCTAGCAGCACTGGTATGGCAGAGATGCAGCAACAGAGGAGCCAGAGCCCCTGGGCTTTTTTTGTAAATAAAACAAGTAATGAACTATCCACAGTTAAGGGAATTCTAACCATCTAGTATATCCAAAATCAGGGAAGCTCTGCCCGCAAGGGCAAGGAGACCACACAGCCCCACGTTCTGCCGGCTGACAGGCAGGACGGTGTCACCGGAGGGGAGGGGAGGGGACGGCTGCAACCTCCAGGCTGGGAGCCATCTGTCAGCCCAGGAGGGGAGGGAGGGAGGCCACCGCTTTAGGGAAAGAGGAGATTTTCTCCTGTTGTTTTTATCGTGCAGGACTCAACAAATTAAGCCCCCAAGAACTGCCAATCAACAGTTGATATTGGCTCAAATCCCAAAAGGCCCAGAGCTGCTGCAGGGCCGATTCCTGCACAGCCTGCTCCCTTGCGAGCGCAGCTGCTTTCCTGGCGGAGACTGCTCTCCGGAGTCCTGTCCTTCTCTAAGCCCATCCTCCCAGGCGGCTAAAAGCAGATACAGGAGCCACACAAGACAGCCAAACTGGTTTTGGAGAACATAAAGCCCCTGACATCACAAGTCTCTCATCTTAGAGGCTGGATAAGAGAGACCTCGAGAGGGAAGAACCATGGCTGGAAGAAAGAGGAGAGGAACTGAAGAGCTGCACGAGGAGAGAGTGGGAGGAACATCACTACTGATAAGAGGACCAAAGTCAGGAGACTGCTACCGGATAAAAGTGCTATGCAAAATCTTCTGCCTGTTAGGGAACACTATAACCTGTCTCAGATCTCACAGTGGGGCCATACCTTTGAGCCTGCGTATAATTTACTTAGATGAGATACTGATGCTGTAGGTGAATGAAAATGCAGTCATTAATGTAAAGGAAGAAAAATCTATTTAAAATATATTTTAATTAAGTTACATAGTAGGCCTCTCTATCCTAACATTTTTGGCTTCTACTACGACTTAATCAAATACACATAACTATAGACAGGAGTTACAGTATGCATTTAAATAATAAAAGGATTTCTGGAATTATTTAGAAAATGAATTAAGCATATTTGTCACTCAACAGTGAACAACTATTTGTGAGTCAGGTGACTTACATTTTAATCCAAATCCATCAGGGCATTAACAATGGTTTTATTTGGATTTTTAAAAACAATCCTTTAGACTTAGAAGTGAATGTTCAACCTTCTAGAGACAATAAGAAAACAGATAAACCAAAGAGGGACTATCTAAATTTGATGGTCTTTGTCTTAAAAAACAGACTGAAGGAAATACAGTGAAAGCATATACTTACTGAACACTGCAATTTAAAGGGTTTTGTATTAGTAGTGAAGCCAGCACATATGATAAGATCTGGGTCGTCACCTTTGCTCCACTGTGCCAGGATACTGTCATAATAAACAGACACGCCAGCCTTTGACAGTGCCTCCTGAACAGCACTTTCGATTTCGTTGTTGTTAAGGCAAGTAACATTGGAGCTGAGTGGAGGCTGTACGAGATGTATGCGAGAACCATTAATTCCAAGAGATAAGAGGGTTTCTACCGTGGTGTAAATGTCAATTGTATTCCCATAGACAATGATGTTCCCTAAGGGAAAAAAATAGCAGAAAAATTTCTAAGATGTACAATGAAAACCTTATTAGTGTAACTCAGATGACAATAACATGAAATTGCTCTCTTTGACCCTCTTATTTCTCTGATGCTATGAAGCAAACAATGTTACCTAGCAACAGTAGCTAAGATAATTTAGTGAAGAATCTGTACAAAACATCCCACAAAGTAGGCAAGTACTTAACATAGAAGTATGACATTCATTCTGACCCCACAATTTGAAATTATTTTGATTGAAAATCCTCTAGGGGAAAACAATCCTGGTTTTATTTTGTTCTCTCCTTCCGCCTCAATTTTGCTCAATCAAAGGACTTCTTGCAGGTGGAGGATGGCAGAACAGGAGCAAATTAAAAACATCGTGCAGAAAAAAAACCCCACAAACTGTGGAAAGACCAATTCTAGAAAACAAGCAATTGTGCAATATGGGAGGTCACCAGTGCTGCCGCTTCCTTCCGCAAAAGCCTAATCTGCAGACAATAGAGCCGCCCCTGCAGACGTACCCGTGCCTGCTGCTTCCTATCTGCCGGCTGGTCTCCCCAAACGGCCCCACTGAGGGCACGGGCGGCCAAGGCACTGAGGGGAGCAGTGAGCAGCTCTGCATCACTCTTTGAAGGCAGCTGCCTCCCTCCAGCACACGTCAGAGAATGCCCAAAACCCAGTCGCCTCAGGTACGGGCTCCAAACCAGACAGGCTGCATCCTTGCACGCTGCCCAGAGCTCAGCTAGCTTCAGACATACATCTCTAATCAGTTGGTATGAAAACAGCATTTGGGTGTCGCTGCTCCTCTGGCAGCGTACTGCCACTGGAGCAGAAACCACTGTTTAAACCAGCTCCATCTTCCCACCCACCGGGTGAAGGGAGCTCTGACTCAAACCCACCTCTCCCACCTTCCAGGGAAGTGCTCTTAACTACAAAGCTGGAGCTAAATTGCAGGATCATCCAAATTCTTACTGAAGCGGTGCCACTTCAACCTGCACAGTTAAAGCTGAGAGTGAGTATGTGAGGATGGGAAGGAAGCAGTTCCTGCGTGAGCGTACCACGACTCTGCAGCCTAACAGCTAAAGCCCTCCTGGCAACAAAGGAGACAGAGCTGGGATGTGTCAGAGCATCTGTGTGTTTTATCTAAGGATGGTTTCATATAAACCAAACATTCCTCCAAGCAGGGACTGAAATGTGCTCCTCTCCTCACCGTTCCCTCTGTCTACTTGCTTGGAACAGAAATAACTTTTCTGCTCTGTGATCTACTAGGCCTTCAAGTAATCCCTGCCAAATGGCACAGCTCTCGCAGGTCAGACTGGAGACTTCCTTGCTGGTAGCTAAAGACCTTTTGCTATGGGGGCCGCAGCCAAGCTCCCGTCCAAGCAAAGGAGGATGAAGCCCATCTTGTGGATTTTGACAGACCTTCAGTAAGACATCAGCTCCCACATGTTAAGTCTGATGGGTGTTTCAGTAAACCAAAGAATCTGATCTGACAGCACAAGTATGCATCAAATGTTCCCATTGCATTTAATGTCCCCCATCTGAGCGGTGCTGCTGGTCAGCAGGTGCATTTATTGCTTTATGGGCAATTCCCGGCAGAAATAGGAAATAACTGAGCCATACCTACACAAGCTGACATGCAAATGTCCTTGCAATAGGGGACATCATACACTCCAGCATGAAACTGGGAGAAAGGAAACTGCAGAAAAGCTAACACCCCCCAAATGTTGCTTTTCCAGGCAATGTGTGTAAACCAAAAGAAAGCCAGCGCACAAATCCCAGGCAATCCTGGCTTGTCCAGTCTCAGACTGAAGTTGAAGGATAACAAAGAGGATATAGGGCCTCATATGAGGAGACTGACAATACAGAAGTAGTTTCTCTGCAAGCTCTAGGAAAATAGTTTGTAGTCTGGCATTTAAAGAAAAGTGTAGGATGGAATGCACTAAAGAAAAATCAGTGTTGAAATGTATAAGGTGTTTCAGGAATGACCTTTAATTGACATAAACAGCAGCTGGCGTTGGCTCCCCATTGACTACAGAGCAGTAACTGCAGTCAGAATTTGGACAAGCACCTGACTTTCCAACTGGCTTGATCTTGACTTTTGGCGGGATTTGTTTTCCTTCGTGGCACTGCAGTAAGATGATCAGGTAAGAAAGTGCCTTGTGCAACTAACTTGCATGTTCATCTCGGCATTGGCATTTATGTCTCACTACAAGTGATAGCATCCCCTACAACCTAAATTTTATTATTTCATAGGCTAAACCAATTTCACTGGGACCATGTTTTAGTGCATGAGACACAGCACATTACTAAACAGAGCATTCACGAAGCCCTAGCTCCCAAGAATATTAATGATAAAAATTGTTAACAGATGTTCTATTATTCCCCTTTGACTACAAGGTTATTTTATTTGTCCATATCAGTTTGGCTACTTGTAGCTGCCAAATAAACATATCTCTTCATAACTGTCAGAGAAAAGAATTGCCCCATGATTATATGTGCTCAGAAATGATGGAAAGCATATTTTTACTGTTTACATAAATGACCAGAGGGACTGACTAATTTTACCTGCAAATGTTTTAATCTAAAATCCTAAGAAGAAAAAGAGATGGTACTACTTTCATAAATATAATACAGAATATGTATAACATATGATAATGAGAACTCTGTCCATTGCGTACATTGCTAGGCTGGCTTTCTAAGCCAGAAGAACCCCTGATGCCTGCCAGGAACATCTATCTGTAGGCAGTAATGTCCTCATGAGAGAGACAAAAAAGAAGGAAGACATAAGACTGATCCATTTTTTTCCACTGCTGCAGCAGCGTGTAATGCAAGAAGAAACAGAACCAGTGGTGAAAACCAAACTTCAATATATTCATTTTTAGTTCTCTAATGTGCAGGTAAGAAGGTAGAATGTGGATGCTGACAGCCTCACATTAAGGGAACTGGGGTTGTTTAGCCTGGAGAAGAGAAGGCTGAGGGGAGACCTCATCACCACTTACAACTACCTAAAGGGAGGTTGTAGAGAGGTGGGTGCTGGTCTCTTCTCCCAGGTGATGGAGGATAGAACAAGGGGTAATGGCACCAAGCTGTGCCAAGGGAGGTTCAGGTTAGAGATAAGGAGGAAGTTCTTTACTGAGAGGGTTGTCAGAGGCTGGAACAGGCTGCCCGGGGAGGTGGTGGAGTCACCATCCCTGGATGTATTTAAAGAGCGGGTAGATGAGGTACTTAGGGATATGGTTTAGGGGGTAGGCAGGAACAGTTGGACATGATGATCTCAGAGGTCTTTTCCAACTGAGCGATTCTGTGTGTGATTCTGTGATTAAATTTACACATTTTAAATTAGCAAGGGGTGAAAAACATAAGCAGCTGAAGATGAGGAGGCGGCTGGGAAAGGGGAATGAGAAGTGCTTATCAAAGGCACAGCCTGAAAAGTTTTATTTTGACTCTAAGGCAAGCAAGCCTGGGCAACCGAAATATCCTCACCATTTGGCAGAACCAGCCTCTTTGGAGGGAAGTTCAGTTATTGCATTATATTGCTGGCATTTTTGTATATACGAGTTCAGATTCAAGCCCTGCATTTCTCAAGGAAAATTAAAATTCTGTTTTATATGGTAATATTAAATACAACTACATTAGATCAAGGAAAGCAATGGTCCTTTACTGACCTCTTGTAAATCAACAATTTATGGTTTCTGCTTATTACAATATTAGTGGCTTTTTAGATTGCAGTTCTAGTAGTCTAGGAACTACAGATATTCATTACGGACTGAAATTATGTTCACTGGACAGATAGCAGTTGCTCAGGATGCTTTTATTATTTAACTACATGAAAATGTATCTATCTGTGAGTAAACACAATAATCTTCCGAGGAAAAGAGCAGCCATAAATAAAGACCGCTAGAGTAGTTTTATCATTTATTACTAGAATGTTGGCGTTCTGCGGCAGAGCAGGCTCATTCATTTGCCACAAGTGGAAGCACAAGATTTCAGTGACCCTAGCACGACCTGAATCTTTTTAGTTTGCAAAAGCTAAAGGAGAAAACCAGTATTAGCTAAAGCATCAGTGGCTCCAGTTGGTGATTCGTGCACTGGAATTTTAATGCGATAGTATTCCTACAAACATGCTTTTAATAAGGCAGTAAACTATGTTTAGGTAAAGAGGGAAAAAAATAATTGCTCCATTTTGGGCCATTAAAGCAGTTCTGTTCCTTACTTTAGTCCCATCCTACTTTTTATTTTCATGGAAAGTGCAGAGCTAATAGGAGATGAATTTCAATTAGTCACAATTACAGTTATAATAGGTTACATGCATTAGGCGGCTGGGTTTCATCAGAGAAGCCGCAGCAGCAGCCACTGGGGCTGGTGCTCGCCCTGCTCCCGGGCCCTCGGCAGCAGGAGGCACTTCTGGGAACGCCAACACAACTGGCTGGGGTCAAAAGCCTCCAGCCTCAGTTCAGGGGACCCCACTGCAGCCAGCTGAGGGGCTGGAAGCGGCAGAGGTGGCTTGCTGCCTCTGTGGAGTGCCAGACAGCTTCCCCATCACCTCTCCTTGCCTGAGGTGAGAAGGAATCTGAGGAGGAAGGTTCCAGCAACCACACTGCTGCCCACCCTTGGTGGCGCAGTCACTGCGGGGAGCACCATTGCTTCCACCACAGTGTGCACCAACATTTCCTGCCAGCACACACTACCGGGCTGATCCCGCTCTGCTTATGGCCCGCAAAAAAGCATCCACTGATTTCATCCAGGATGAAGTGGTAGTCAGTGCTCACAGGGGGAAGAAAAGCAATTAGAAAAACCTACCTTAACTCTTAATTAAAAGCTGCTCTCAAAATCAGTGCCACCAAGCAAAGATTTCATCCAATTAGGCTAATAAGACTCGCACCGCGAAGTTCAGTGATTAACACTTTCCTTTAAAAAACCCTCCAGAACTACAGGTGGTCTGGAAGGCGCATTTGCCCTCCCTGAACTTTCTCCCTACCCAAGCCAGGTAGTTCTGTGCACTCACCAGGCTAAACATCGGTGGGAGCTGCTCCCTGCCTGAGCACCCGGGCTGGCTATATGGGACTCCGGTGGGGCTCATCCAGCAGCCAAACCAGGAGAACAGGGTTGACACAGCAGGCTCCAGACTACCTTTGATAAATGTAGCAAATGGCTGAATAAGAGCAGCACAAATAGAAGAAATGCGTGGGGAGAAAAGGCCGAGAAGAAGCTGAGAAGAATTACTATTGTATCTGAAGTGGGAGGATGAAATGTCTATTTCTGTGCAGCTACAATAACCAGCATATATAGTTTTACTATATACTTCGTTTTTTCTTTAAACAGAAGCAAATCCTTCTTTTTAGTGGTTTGAATTCTAACACGTTTAAAGCAGGTTAGTAGGAATTTGACAAATAATACTTTACAGTTTTGATAAGATTACATATATGAGGTGTAATATTACTATTTATTGAAGGCAAAACTAGGATCTGGAGAATTTCAGAGATGAAAAGTAAATGCACATTTAAAACTTTGGTCATCCCAGTAGACCTGCAGAGAGCTGACAGACATCCAAATCAATTGCTAAACACCACGGGAGCCCTGCCCCTGCACCTCTGCAAGGCCCATCACCTATTAGACTGTATCCAGAACAGGCTAGGGGCAAACAGAGTAGGGATCTTGGATGCAGCTATGATTAAGTCTGAAAGAACAACATTTGTAATAAATATAGCCAGAAAATGAAGCAGGGTAAGGAAGAGCAGAAACAGAGATAGGTAGAGAAGGACTTCTCCAGCTGGGCACTCTCTAGCTTACATCTGCAGCAGCAGCAAACTTGAAGTGGGAAGAGCAATGAAAGAGAACTGGAGCCAGAGGTAGATTTCAAGGAAGGGGGGAGGCATCACATCTCCCACAGACCACATCTCCAAGAGGTCCCCCAGATCGGCCTCATTGGGAGTTGTGGATTTCACTTACAACAGAAGACAGGACAGTGCCTAATTAAGATCGCCATCTTCACACTGCAACAAAAGTCAGCAGCGATAATGAAATTATGATTAATGTAGCATTAATTTAGTATGAATAATAATACAGGTGCATTCATCCCGAAGCAGGTGAGGTGCTGCAAGACTGGCATTTTCCTGAAACGTGATCCTCCTGGGCACCATGCATCCCAGTCAGCAACTCACTCTCAGGCAGCATTTCTGCACAGGTGAACTGGAGCACATTCCAAAACTGGGCACTCAGGGATTTGCACGAAAGACTAGGAGTAGCCAACAGGAAAAACTAACGACCTCATCTGTCTATGCAAACACAGGTGTGCATATCAGCTGGCCATCAGGTAGAACTGTGCAGGCAGGGGTGGTATCAGCTGGAAAACAGGCAGCTGCTGAAGAGGTTCTATTTAATGCCGGGGGCCAGGAAGCTGTGTGAGGAAAATGTGAGTGGAAACATGATCGTGTTTATTGTGTCCTGTCCTGACCACAGCAAGACTTGGAGGATGACAAAAGAACTTCCAGTGTCTTGAGAACTTCCCTAAAGGTGTGCCAAGCAGAACATAAACCTTGTAGACCACACCAAGTAACTACCAGTTTTCGTTATGTTCTCTATAAACAAGCCAGGGAAACTTCATCTTTAGGAAACTCCTGCTGCTGCACTCAGTCAACAGGAACTTTCCACAAAGACAGCTTTCCTGCTCTGAACTTACTCCGATCTGGCACACAGGACTGATGTTACATTTACTGCTTGGCCTCTTCTTCTGCAGATCAAAGTTTAACTCGGAAGCCTGGATGATTCCAGGTATTTTCAATAGCATACTAATTCAGTGAATGAACTAAGGAAGGTATGAGCGATGCATACGTGAACAGGTTGAGGAAATACAGATATGGTAGATGAAAATCTGCACAAATGTGTGACTTTAAAAGTTAAAAAGTAAATACTGGGAACCTGCAATTCTATGTGAAAATCTGTAACTGATGTAACAGAATACAAAGATGACAGATACTGAAAAAAACACCCCACTTCCTAATTTAGACCTGTTTTCTTTGTGTTACGCCTCAAATCTAGACATTTTTCTACACAACAGAAAAACACACCCACTAATTAAATTATTATTTAATTAGCTAATTAATGACTCCAGCCAGATTTTCATTTGGGACTCATTTTGGTTTATATAATGATTATAGATAATTAATCTATCTCAAGCCTTTCTTTCCTAGCTAAATATGCTGGGTATCAAAAATGACAACAAATTGTAAATTAATCTGGAAAACAAAGCACAGCAGATGAAAGACTTTGTAAGAATTAATCAGGCATCAATTATACCATGGAATTAAGGAAACAATAAGCCTAGAAAAACATTTCTGTGACTGTGTGTGTGTTAATGAAAACCCTTACCTTCTGAGTTGACAGCATTTTCCTTCAGCCAGAGCATTGCCTTTGAGCAGTCCTGATCATCATTGATAGTAAAATGATTGGAAGGGACTTTCTCTGAGTATCTTTGTGGCCATTTACCTATGACTTCTCTATTAGTTGGGAGTTTACGGATATCTGCTCCAGTGGGAGACACGACCTGGAAGAAGTGAATAAATGAGTGAATGAAGACATGGCATATATCTTGGAGAACTGTTGAGAAAGATTAAAAAAGAAAATTACACAAGTCATTTGACTACCTAAAGGGCGATATACTTGTACGCCCCAATCCTTCTTAATAGCAGTAGCAAACACATCAGTGGCCACAGAGAAAATAAGTTCATGCTAGTCTAAGTACACAGACGTGTGTAGGTATTCCATATTTTCTATGGGCTATGGGTGACTGTTTTAAACAGCAGTGCCAGAACAACTGAATAACAATACAGGCAAAATGCAAATGAAAAGCACTTCACAGCAAACAGCAGAAATGCATAAAAATAAGGTTGAAGGATCTCTGCAGTTATCTGAATAACATACACCTTTAAATGACACTTGAAAAATCTTTGCGCAGTAAGACTGCCTACATCTTTTGTCAGCAAAAAACATCTTTCTAAAATAAGAGATTTTGTCCCAGAGAAAGGGACCAAAACCTGCTTGATGGTTAAAATGTCAAGATGCAGTAAAGTGTTAATTGTATAATGCTACGTTACAGTAACAAATTCAATCTGAATTACACAGAGAAAAAATGGGAATCTCATCTATGACTTGTACAGCACCAGTGATTAATGTCCTGAACAATGTTCTCACTGTCAATTGGATCAACTGAAATAGTACGGGGTCATATAAAAACAGGCATGAAATCAAAAGATCTTACTTACCTAACAAGTAAATCCTCTTAATCATAATGAATAATATTTTACTAGGCATTAATTTGACTGCTTACCAAGTAAGGGACAACTTATAAAAAGAATGGACTACAGCTCTGTGTAATAAAACAGAAACCAGATGATAAAAATAATTCTTTCCTATTTTTGTAGAGCTTAAAAGTGAGAATAGATGATGTTAGGTTTTCTTATCGAAGGTAGATAAAACCTGAGTTTTCCCTTGCTTTCTTTATCTTTCTCCTCCAGTGCAGTTACTTCCCATAACTTAGTCAGAGTCACCTTAAGTCAGAGTTACCTTCAAACTTCTTTTTCGAGGAGCACTTAAAGTCATTCAGATCATAGTTCAACTTTTGTTTCATTCCTGTTGAACAGCGAATATAGATTGTTGTTTAAAGTGTGGCTCTACTCTGAAAAGTGATTTCAGAAAAAACCTGGGCCTTTCTTGTGCCACAAATCTGTTGCACACGTGCAGTCCAGATTTCACTACAGGGCTGAACATTTGTGTTTGTGATGTAGTGAACAGCACTGTAAACACCTGTAGATGCACGCTCAGTTTGATCTCCTGATTTTAAAGCCAAAATACCTTTTGCTTGTGATTCCTATTGAAAACCAATCAGTAAGGCAAAATCACTGCAGGCAACAAGGCGATACAAAAGATGGCCATTTGGTTTACATAGTTTGAAGGCCACGTGATGATACACAAGAAAGAACGAACGAACCTTGCTCGGGATGCCTGAGTCGAAGCCAAGCCTGTAGGGCTGGAGCTGAGCTTGATTCCACACTTCACATGTAACTAAGGGTGTGCTTCAGTGTAACTGGAAACTTAACTGTGTGCTACAATAGCATACAGCACCATGTACGTGCCTAGGCATGGTCAACATGTGAGATGAGTAATTAATTTGATAAGGAATTCTCTCCATTGCCAGAACTAGGTCAAATGGTGTTAGACCAGCTGGAGTTAGGTCTCCTGTGGCTCGGGCCACATGTCAATAGGGTCTACTCTTCAGCAGATTTAATGGTCATGGTGGCAAAAATACTAGCAGCTTTGTGTAATATCTGACGCAGAGCAGTGACATTGCTGGTAGAAAATTTTGTAAAACCTCTAATCTCCAAATTCTATAGCTGCACTGAAACAGTACAACCTGCTACGCTGGAGGGCTGCAAACTTTTTGGTTATACGCTTCCTAAGGACTACTCTACTGCTTTGCTAAGCACAGAAACACTCTCCACTGTAAAAACTGAATATATTATTATTATGATGTTTTTCACTCTGCACAGAATCTTACCTGGTACTTCTGTCCCGTACAGAGAACAAGGTAGTCATATGGTACCTTTTTCTCCTTGGAAACAACTACATATTTGGCAGTGCGATTTATGCCAGTCATTTTACCAACCACAACGTTAACCCAGGAACAAAGTGACATCTGTGCATAATCTTCATCATTAAAACAGTGGCTGTGAAGAAAGAATATCTGTAAGTGACATTTCAGCAGCTGACAGCAGGCATTAATTAGACATCTGGTGAGTTAGCCCAAGGCCCCTCGCGGCTCAAGTCTCTGCTCTCGCTGTGAGTTTACGGCAGTCTATAGTAAAAGATTAGTCATTATGAAATACTCAGTTACAAATTGACAACTTTCTGCTAAAATCAAACAATTCCTCCCAGCATTGGGCCGAACAACCACATAATTTAAAAACAAAGTCAGAAATATATGCTTTGCTCTGTTATATCTTCGCAGGCTGAGGCAAGGAGACTTTTGCACCTGCAAAGAAAATATTTCAACAGTCTAATTCCTTCTCCTGTACAAGACTCCCATATTTAGTTTTTTTCCATTTTTGCTTCATTTGGTATTGAACTTCACCAGTAGCAGCTATGGGGAGACACAAACACAATGAAGGCATCCTTGGCATTTTAACATCCATGTTCCAAAGTATTAGTCTGAAAAGTTTGAAAATAAATAAAAACCTAGGAAAACGGTTGTCAGAGTGAGAAGCAAAAGGCAGAGATCTCAAATTTTCTCTTGGTGACCCCTTTTCAAATGAACTTTTCCAAAAGGCAAGAGTGAAAAATTCTGAAAACATACTAAACTGACCCTCTCGCTCCAAACTTTCTAAAGTCTCTAAGGTGCAACTGAATTCCTCTGCAAGATGAAATGAATATTAATAGGAATGAAGGAGAAATTATTAAATAGGCTCAAGAAAGACAAAAGAAAACAAAACTGGCAGGTAAATGAGAAAAAGAAACAAACAGAGCAGATGGTAAAAATATTAGTCTTCACTAATTTCTAAGTGAACAATTTATTCTTAATGAAAATGAGGAAGGCAACTTTTATAATTTCAAAACAATGACCTTCAATGCTAGGTAACAAACAATATAAAAGTTTGTCTGTTTAAAGAAGCAGAGCCTTGCTTCATATAGTAGTTATGCTTTCCAGGGCTGCCCAAATGATAGCAATCTGATTTTCAGGGTGCATATGGTGCACACATTCTGAGTACCACACTCTGGCAGTGTTAATTCAGTATTAGCACCAAAAATCTAAGGAACCCAAAATCACCTGTCAGTTTTGAAAATGTTGGGCAAGGTCTACTTTTGCAGCTCCTAAACTGTAAAGGTGTTACAGCCTGTTTTCAGTGTAAAGTACCAAAAATATCCCGATGTATGATGGCAGTATCAAAGAACTGGGAACCGCTATTCAAAAAGCTGATTTTGAAGCAAAATCCAAATGGAACAAACCCTCTTTTAATGCTTCAGTAATGAAAACTAAAATTATTTTCAAAGGTCTTTTATGACTCAGAGTATTCCCCCACCCTGCGCAACTAAGCAAATACCAGGATACTTATTTATTATTGCATTTGTACTACCCTCTCTGCTTAACAGGCTTCTGGAAAGACAAAAATTCCTGAAGATTAAATACTTCAATAGAGATGTACAGTAGACACAACATTATAAAATGCAAGGAGGACCAGAGAGGTAACATTTTCAACAAGGTCCGTTATGACTCTTGAACACCGCTGAGTCTTGCAAAAGCCCATTATGAAAACACATAGAGCACTGCTGGCCATTCTGCAAATCCAGCCAGACTCAACTCAATGCCTTCCTGATACTGAAGACTTAAACCAGGCAAAATTCTGTTAAATTAGGTTTTTTCAGTAGAATTCAAGATTAATGCTAATCTCAGACCCATGTATAGCTTTGTAGAGGGATGAACCTGCAGGATCTAGTGAAAAAGAATGCAACAGGTTTTAAAGAAGCAAAGATGATAAATGACTGGTGTTACACAAATGTCTGGTTTATGAGATCAGAGTGACATGGCAAGAAGATGGTACTTGCACATCTTGTGTGAACTGAAGCAGAGTCTCACTTCACATCTATGCGACAAGATGGGAATGTCCAATAAAGAAATTCTGGGCTTCACCCAGTCTGAGATCTGAAGTCACTGCAAAAAAATTATGCAATCGACCAAATAAAGCTCATGACCATTCTGAGGCTCAAGAACTCTCTATTGATGAAAAATATTCCACTTTCTTCCACAGGACTAAATGTAATGTGATTAAATAGAAGGTGATTCAGCTCATGTTCAAGCGTATGATGCCTTTATGTTAAACCAGTGACTGCAACAGAAAACACCAGAGAGAGATTCGGCACCAACGGCTGTTACTTTGCCATTAGTACCAGAATGAACATTCTAAAACAGAGCTGATTGCTACACGTTTATTGCTGTTACTGAGCTCCCAAAATGGTCATACAGTATGGCAGAGAAACAAATAAAGCTTCTTTCATGACCTGAAGAATTTTAGGATTGAATTACCAGGCATTCTGAGGTACTCTGTATCCTCTGTACTCACAGATACCAGAGGCAAATAAATAAGGGAAGAAAACCACTGACAATTCTAAACTGTAATCATGCAGATATCTATAAATAAAATGGACATCGAGGACAGATGAGGGTTTTCAAAAGCACCTTTATAATTGAGGTGCGCAGCTCCCAGGAGACTGACACTCCAAAATCACAGGGATCCTTTCAAAAAATCATACCCTACAGAGTTCAATTTTCACTCTTAATCTGCTTTCAAATTTTAACAGCTAATTCTGTGAGGCAGCTATGAACTGCAACTTGCCATCAGGAAGGATGTTTTGTTATTACAACTCTTTTTTACAGTATACTTCAGAAAAAGAGTACATGCAATTATGTGAGTATATAATCCCTTCATTTACCAGATCTGTACTTTAACACAACCCTTTCAACAATAAAAAAAAATAATTCAGGTAACTCCGTCCAAAAGATTCCTTGACAGGGCAAAATGCCTAATGAGATAAGATGGTTTTAAACAGGTTCATATCACATCATTTTCCTGTCTTCGTAGAGATTTCACTTTTTAGGTTCAGCAAGCAGACACTGAGTTGTTTTGTCATTTGAAAAGCTGACCCTTTAGTGCATTTCTGCTTACAGAGTCAAAGGTTTGGTAAAAAAACAACATGCAGATTCCAAAAAGCCACAAGCCAAATACAAATAAATTGCACTGAGTTCATTCTCCAGCTAGTCAAAATAACTGATTCATTTTAATTCTGTGCTTCTCAACATCCAGAACAATCACGTTCCTGTTTATAGTAAGGATTCCTAGTCACCATTCCAAAATAAAAAAATAAAACCATCAAAACAAAGATACTAAATTTAAGTGAGAATTATGTACTGTGAGTTTTAATGAGGTAAGATTTTATCCTACTAAATGGAGGATATTTTACTTACTGACAAATGTGAAATTCGACCACTCACTAGACACAAGCACAGGAACCTTTCGCAACCCTCTATTCCGCTGTTTTGCACCAAACCCATGGCTCTGCCAGCCTGGAGGAGGGAAGCGTAGGGACAGCACCCTGGCTGGGGCTGGAGATGGACTGCCACAGTGCAGTGACTGGCACACCATAGACCACGAGCAGCAGAATGAATGCAGCAACAGTTCTTCCAAGTTTATCAACAGCAATCAGCCTAAGCTTTCCCTCATAAACTCAGCAAAATTCCCACTGTCATCACCAGCATCTGCAGCTCACCATGTGGCTGCTATAAGCAGATCACTGGTCACATTGCTAATACCAATTCTTACATGTTCTTTTGTTCAGCATTATTTGGAACAAAACTCACAGAATTTAAAAACTAAATAATATTTTAAAAGCAAGCATACATCTTTTGTCATTTTTCTTTAACCTGGAGATCTAAACAATCGAAAAAGTCTTGGAAAGCAGTGACCTGTGTCCTGGTATAATACAATGGACTGCTGTCCTGAGTCACTGCTTTAGCAGTATTTCCCTAGTAATAATTCTATCCAACTCATTTCACAGGTGAATGCATGTTGTATAGACAGATTGGATTATTTTGAGGCTATCTGTCTATGTATCTACCTGAAATTCAGGACAAGTTCACAAAGAATTACAAAGTGTTATGTTTTTCTTTGAAGCTATGGAAGTGTTTGGATATTAAATCAAACCTGTTAATTAAAAATCTTCTATGTCTGGAGCCCAGTGGGTCTTTTCCTGGAAGGCCATGACTTGAAATCAAGGTTAGATTGTTGAACTTCAGATGCGGACTGTGGAGAGAAAAAAAAATGGCACGGTTCAACCAGCGTAAGGTTGTTGAGGCTCCGTTTGGTACAAGCAAAACGTGAGTGCATTTCAACATATGCTTATACACCATGCTTACAGCTTAGCTTCCCAGGCCATCACTGTGACTTTTGAGCTGTACAGTACCCAGCACAATGTTGTCGCAGTCCTGACACAGATATTCAGACTCTATCACGTAACTAACAAGCTCTGTTCCTAAGACCATATGCAGTTATTCCATCACTACAAGAGGCATCGTAAGACCAGCGAGTCTTTGCTCAAACACCTTTGCTGTTCATCACTCACCTTCTGTAAGCTGCAGAAAAAAAACTTCCTGACAACTGGTAAATTGTCTGCTTCCTGCAACAGTTCTGCTGAAATTAGGAGGGCATTCCAAAGAAACAGCATAGTTTTTAACTCCACATTCACAGGGACACAGAAAATAATACCTTTACACAGGCAAGGTACAAAGTGTTTTGTCGTTATGCTAAGATGCATGTGTCTTTGGACATGAAAAGAAGAATGCTTTCCACCATAGTTTCATTAACACCAGAGTGTGCGGGGTGGAACAAGACTGACAGTATGTTGAACTAAATGTGATCTGACATTTAAAAACAAATAAATATTATGAGTGATTAAGCCTTCTAATCTTCAAGGCTTTCTGTAAGTTAAGTATGGATTGATGCAAATGGTACAAAGGAATCAGAATGTTTTTTATCAACCAATGTTAATTTGTTATTCATACGTTTAAAAAATATATTCAAACAAAGTTAAAGGTCATATTTAAACCAAGGAATTTCAAGGTTATGGCTGCCCCTCTCAAAATGCATATTAATAGTTTAATTCTGGATTATGGATTATCTATGGTAAATCTCCATGCATACTCAGGCTGAGTGCAATGTAATAAATAACCTTAATGTAACAGAGTGCATATATTTATACAGATTATGGGCCTGATTCTCATTTAAATTAAGGTCACTCTGCAGAGGTGGGTGTAAACAGAATTTGCTCTTCATTTATGACCACATTATGCTGGCTGAGCGGTACAAAGTGGTCTTCATGTAAATGAGAGTTAGCCCAATATATTAAGCTGAATTTAAAGTGTACAGAATGCCATCTGCACTCATGGAGCACTCCTAGTGGGTTGCAAATGTGACGAATCACAGTAACTTTACACACCTAAATAGTATGACTCCTTGGCATTTAGTTTACATTTAATTATGAAGAAAATTACTACAATACATAAAGATCCTAGAGATTCTCCTATCCTGCCTGCCCTAAGAGCAATGAAGTTTCTTTTCAGCTTGGAGCTGAAATAATCTCTGTACATGCTGCATGGCATCTTGCCAATAGGTCTCCAAATCCAGGTGCTACAATAAGTTTAAATTACATTAACAATATTTAGGATAAAAATGTTAGAAGCAAGCACCAGAAAATGGCAGATTGAAGGTCCTAGGCAACATTAATATGCCTCTTTTGCATGATTGCACTATGATGCACTTTATTGATCTGGTCACATACTATTTTCTCCTGCAGATGCTCTACCTCTATTGAGTCCATACGCAGCCATCCAGTATTTCCACAGTCATATGGTATTTGTTCAGTTCTTCCCCATTGAACATGAGGCTTCAATTCAGGCCTTTCACTCAGTACAATTTACTAACTAATGATTTACTTCTACCTCAGCGCTCCCAAGGCATCCCCATATGCCCCAAACATTAATTCATGTTTCCCATTCATTAATCTTGTAGGCGTCAAAATGTTGATCAGCATTTCCTCCAAATACTGTGATGAAATGAGTCATATCTTTGATTCTAATTTCACATTGAGAAAAATCAAGGTACAAAGAACACTGGATTAAAGGTATCAGAAAGGCACACTGATGTTGGAGGCAGAACCAAAGAGGCCCAGAGGCTGGTACCTGGCACTGCCCCGTGTTCGGACTGCTGGCATGCTCCCCTTCTGGGGCTAAGGGGCTGCAGAGCTCCATGCACAGTTTCATGCAAATAATGGTCACATTTTCAAACAGAGAGGGAAAATTCTTCTTCAGCTAAGAATCAAAATTTGTTAAATACTTAAGTGCAGGCTGGCATTTGTGAAAATTATCAGAATCTTTAAGTAAAAAAACCCTTGTATCTTGTATTACAGAAGTTTTATTTCAGAACTGTAGTTAGCATGCCTAACCTTAGGATTTTAAATCTGTACACAGGCACTAAAGTACAAGCCTGAAAACTACAGGCAAACTGTCAATGCTTAGTCACAGTTCTTGGGCACTGGCACACAGTTACAGAGAGGTAAGTGGTTTGAGTATTTTGACCAGTGACTGCAGTGCACATTACCACAATTTACATCATTCTCCTCTTTCCTCTAACCAGTACTATTATTCCTAGGCTAACAAAAGGATGGTTTAGTTAGTGTGGCTTGTGATTCCTTACTGCTGCCTAAAAGCTCTTAATAACAGAAAAATATAAAGGTTCTGAGAAACAGGTAGTGTGTGTTAGGAGAGGGAATGTCTTATATGCTTCCAATATCTATGTAACAATGCCTAATGTGAAGTAGGGTAAAAGCAGAGGTTCCCATTTGGTGAAAAAGTCTTCAAGTTAAGAGCCTGAACCAATGCAACATTAAACAAGTGCACCTGCATTTTAGAAGCAAATAATTCCAGCAGCGATTCATGTTGCTGTGGATACAAAGGGAAGAACAGCTCAAAGATACTGGTAAAGCAGGGAGGGATTAGAGTATCTAGGGAAATAAGTAAAAGGTATTGGGTTTCATTGCACAGTTCTAGAGGACAGCTACAGAAAAGTCTAACACCCTTGTTCTCGAAATAAAAAAGGAATGCCAATTCACTGTCAGCATAATCAAAGGAACAATAAAAAAAAATCAGTATCTTATTTATATATATCCTGGAACTTGTGAATCTGAATATACCTTGCCAGGTTTTTTTTTGCCTGATGTCTTGCTACCTTTATTTTTTCTTATGTGTGTGGTGTAATGATGGAGGCTTAGACAGTGTAAACTGCCTGAACAAATGATTTAATTAATTGCTTTCATTAAACCCCTCATTATCACAAATAATAACTCAAATTACTTTTGTTACAAAAAAGAAAATGCAGTGAAGTAGTCTACATGAATGTGTTTCAATTTATTTGAAATGAAGCATCATTTTTTTTTTCCCCAGTCATTTACAAAAAACAAAACAAAAAAGAGTGACAGAAGATAATGCCTCATCTGGCTACCAAAACTGGTAACTATGTGCACTATTCTCCTGTACGCATAACTTTTAAACAATAACTTTAATATATGGAATTATAACCTATCCAAAGGTAACGTTCTAATTATACTGTATCCTCAGCTTCACTGCAGCAGAACACTTGTAAAAATGGCAGCTCTAGATCATTCTAAAAATGGTAACAAATAGTCTGTTTTCAGCACTAAGTGCTGAAAATTTAGATGTGATAAGTTTTTGCATTAATGAAACTTTGAAATCAGAGAAATCTCTGTCCTGCAACAACAAAAAAAGAAGCCTTAAGATTTTTGTGGGGAGCAAGGAGCTTGGAATGAGAGATGATGATAAAAGTCACAGCAGGTAATAACTTCGAATTCAAGGCACAGACACTCAAAGCGTCCAGATGGAAGTCTCACTGTAAAAGGCAGATATAGACAGTAGCTCTCCCCTTCCCAAATAACACTGCAGTTTAACCAAAGTAGGACTTCTCTTTTAAAGGAAAGATTGTCATCCTAAACATTTCAAGAACAAAGTAATCAGGACTTGACTTGGAGAACAGAGCTCTCTAAAAGGAAAAGATTTTCTAATAAATTTTCCAAACTACAAATAGAAATGCTCAGCTTTACAAAGGTTACTAATATTAATAACAACAACAAGGCAAACCCCACTCATTCACATTTTCACTAAAGGAATATGTTACTTAGCACTAGAGGCTTTCTTTGAGTAATCTTTACAAGCAATGAGTTTTCATATTGCCACTATACTAAATTGCTTTTGTTTGCTTGGACAAAGCCCATCGCTTTCGCTGGCAGAGCTGTAAAAGCCTTTCCCCTTCTCTCCACTTCCTCTCACTCTCTGAGCAGCTGTATCAGATGCAGACAAGTAAGAATCAACACAAAATCAAGTATGAAGATATGTGAAAACAGAGGAAAGCCATTTCCCGGTACGATGTTACACGATGCCACCCTAGCAGTGTGAAGGCTCGGCAACTGATCCTACAACGCTTGGTTATTAAGCTTTTAGTAAGAGAGTCAGTAACAGAAGCAGCAGAAAGGGTTTATTGTTTGTATCAACAATTACCAAAAGCGTCTGTTCTCAAGAACCTTATGTAAGTGCATCAATTACAGACCTCAGAACAGGATTGCAGCTTAACTGCTGACCAACAGATGTCCATCTAGAAGTTATCCCTCTTTAATTGCGAGTAAACAAAGATAAGCCAGTTCTCCATTGGATCAACCTTAGGAAAAAGTGTTAAGATTGTGAATGAATTTGCTCAATAAAAGAAGGGATAACAAAGTCTTTACTGGGGCACTTTTCAATGCAAGGGTCAAGAAAGGGGTTTTCCACATATTCGTTTCCTCTATAAACTGCGCTCATGATGACTCTTCCTCCCAAGACCAGTGATCAGCGCATCATGAACACCACCAACTGAAATAAAAAGATAAGTGAATCTAATTCTCAGTAGCTCACATATGACTGCCACTTTTGACACCAGGTGACAGATAAGTCATTGCTTACTTCAGTGGGAGAATTCACATCTTTTACTTCCTAGGACACTACTATTTGCCTTCCAAGATAGGCCACAACATTGGCAAAATTCAACATCCTCTTTAATTTCAGAAAACACTCTTCTAAACTGTTCAGAACAGAGGTCAAAAGGAAAATGTTTGGTTCTGATTTTATTTTAAAGAATTAAAGATGGAATTTCTTTAAAAATAAAATAGTAGCTTTTTTAAAATGACATCTCGGCAAAATATT